GCTGGCTGAGGAATTCTGGGAGTTGAAGTCCACAAGTCTTAAAGTTGCCAAGGTTGGACACCCCTGTTCTAGATTATATAAACGAAAAAACTTGAGTGAAGTGTTGAGGATCATAACATTCAGTCAATCTTTTTACCAATGCAAACTTCATTAGAACTAGAATTCAATACAGTCAGGGAGTAAAAAGAAAATTCCAGTGCAAGGAGGAGAAAGCAGTGAAATGTCCTTTAGGATCTGCCCTCAGAAACGCAGAATAAGGTTGGATGGAAAGAAGAGTGCTATGCAGATAAAGCTACAAAAAAGGATGGCAGGGTCAATATCATATCCCCGTGATTTCATCTATAACATTCAAAAGAACTAAATGATTTCGAGAGTTCTGCACAACACTAGGTACATTATGAGACACAGAAAGAATAACAGAGACCATAAGGTCAGTTTAGAATCTACAGAAAGTACTCTACAAAACCATTCTATATTACAAAACAATTCTGGTGTGTGCTGTATTCCCATCTTATTTTGTTAGAGACCATTTCTTCTCTGTGCTCTTTGTTTAATGTAACATACAGAGAAATGGCAGTGGACCAGCAGCTCCTTTGTAGACTGTCAGCCATGGCCATAGTGAAAGGACATCAAGAGAAGCATCATGCAGAAAAATGTTAAGTTTGCTATCTTTCTTCAATGAATAATAGTAGTATAATTCATTCCAGTGCCAGACACTGTTATGCACTTAGCAGCTAGTCACCCAATAAAGCCCTTGCAATAACAAAATTTATATGTTAAAATGTCAATAAAATGTTCATAAAGTAGATACCTTCAATGACTATGTATTTCGAAGTCCACTGTTTCTTGAACGTTGTAAGCAAATTTTTTCTTCGGATGCAGATAACATGCTCTTTAAAATCAAATTCCTCAGTATAAAAACGTAGAAGTCCTAGCCATAATTCACCAATGGATTCTTTATTTTTACCAAAATCTGACCAAACATCTGACTGAAAAGAGAGGGGGAGGGGGGAGAAACCTTTTTTGATCATTTTTTTAGGGGGTAAAATTTTAAAATGGAAATGTAATTTAATTATTATGCACAGACGAACATTTTAACCTGTGTGCAAACGAAACATATTCTTCTGTTTTTTGATTATTCTAGGATGAAAGTTAAAGCCCTATAAAAGCATAAGAAACATGTCTGACTTCATTGAATATAAAATCTGCTAATCTGAAATAATATGTTTATTAACTAATTCCCTTTAGCCATACAGAAGCTGATTCTTGGGTTTAATAATATAGGCAGAGATTGTCCTTGTTTTACTCAGCAAATGTTAGGAATGTAAAATTTAAGAATACATACAACATTTCCCCCTGAATCAGTCAGATTCTCACCAGTTCATTTATTCTGTCAAAGAAATAAACATTCCAGCCATCAACTAGAATTTCAGGTTTCTTTGGCTCTGTACAGATCTAAACAAAGAAGTATTAAATATTAGGTTAGCATTAAATTGGTAGCCTTTGAATTATTTTAAGTAGGCATGGAGGTGTACAAACAACAATTATGTACTATACCTCTTGAAGAACTGGAATAACAGGTGGACTTCTCTGCTGAAGAAAATAGAGCACCATTAGCGTATATGCATAGGAAGATAAGCTCCCTCTGGATGCATCACCAATGTCGCACATCTGGAATGAGAGAGAAAAATTAGCTTTAAGACTTGGTTGCTCTTGAAGTTTCCCCCATAAAACCTGGACATTGCCTTACCTTTGTAAATACTTTCATTGTGTAGCAAAGATATTTTACTCTGGGATCAATTGTGGCATAACAAGACAAGAGCCTTGTGTTATGCAGAGCCTGTAAAAAACAAAAAGACAAAGTAAAAGTATCCTTTTCTTTTACAGAAAGATTTGGAAAGGTAAAATGAGAAATTCAGGCATGGAAAGCTGTTCAGAAGTTTATCAAGTTTTAGACTAATACATGGTAGAATTTCGTCTCTCTTTTCCGGTAAGAAAAGCTTCATTTTTAAAATATATCATTAAAATTAGTCATTTCAGGAAATCATGTGCTTTTTTGGGACTGATATATTAAGCTATTTTCACAGACTATTTTGAAACAAAATATTGTAAAGACAGGGTTGATATATTTATCTTCTGACTTCTCAATTTTAGTCAACTGCCCATATCATTGCTTGCTATTTTGTTTTTGGTCCATATGATGATGACTCAAATATAAATTGAAAAATTATTTTTCCCTGGAGCCATTCCTATTTATAAAAACATTCCTATTTATAAAAACTTCCTAATGAAATATTTCCAAATACTTCCAAATATTTGAATAAATATTCACATTTCAAACAGTTAAATGCTCTTACCAATGTGTTATACAGACTGATGTCTACTTCAAGGCCACTTCGGATATGAAAAAACTTGACAATCGGCACTTTAGCAGTTGTTATGGGTAAGATATTTCTTAAACCTATGCAAGTACAAAAATACTTACTTCAAATGAACTTAGTGACAATATTAGACTTACAATCCAGTAGACTAAATAAAACATGAAGCTTAAGCAACAAAAACATACATACTTATTTAAGGGCAAGTCTCAGTTAATTCAACAGTCCTTATTTTAGTCAAAAGTCTTTTGGAAAATTATCAAGATGCTTCACTACAAAAATCACTAAGCAACGGCAGAGTTATTTCAGGCTTTTCTGTATTTCATAATAACAAAAAATGCATTCAGTACACTCAGTTATAGGAAAAGATTGTGTCAGCATATGTAAACAGAATGGGAACCAGAAATCGGACAAAAGACAGAACTATAAAAGATGTTGATATAAAAAAAAGTATATAGGGCAAGATGTTTTAGTGAATCAAGTTTTACTGGAAAGCTAATAAAAATTCTACTATGAAATATACATTTTTTAATACTATTAGTATATAATGTTTCTTTACAGGAGGGGACGGTGCCCCAGCACTTTAAAAAGGCTGTGGTCCACCCTCTTCTCAAGAAACCATCACTGGACTCCACCCGGTTGGATAATTTCTGACCTGTCTCCAATCTTCCCTTTTTGGGGAAGGTTGTTGAGCAGGTGGTCGCGCAACAGCTCCAGAGGTTTCTGGATGAAATGGATTATCTCGACCCCTACCAGTCAGGATTCAGGCCTGGATTTGGGACAGAAACAGCACTGGTTGCACTTTTGGATGATCTCTGGTGGGAGCGGGATGGGGGTAGTGCATCTATCCTTGCTCTACTTGACCTCTCGATGGGATTCTCCTGGGGCGGCTTCGGGGGATGGGAGACCTTGTGCTGTCTTGGTTCACTTCCTTCCTCTGCAGCCGCTCTCAGTCTATGTTGATAGGAGGGGAGAGATCCAACCCTCGCCCACTGCTTTATGTGGTTCCACAGGGCTCAGTATTCTCTCCACTCCTGTTCAACATTTATATGAAGCCGCTGGGTGAGATCATCCATCACCATGGACTGAGGTATCACCAATATGCTGATGATACTCAGCTGTATGTCTCGGCCCGGGGTGAGTTAAATGTTGCTGTATCCTCCCTCTCGCAGTGCCTGGAGGCTGTTAGGGGCTGGATGGTGAGCAACGGGTTGAAACTAAACCCTTGCAAGACCAAGTGGCTCTGGGTTTGGGGTTTGTTGGCTAAGGGAGAATTACCTTTAGTCTTGGATGGGGTGGCACTACCCCAAACAGACCCTGTGTGTAATCTAGGGGTTTTCCTAGATTCACGACTCCTGTTTGAAGAGCAGGTGGCAGTTGTGGCCAGGAGGGCCTTTGCGCAACTGCGGGTTATGCACCACTTATGCCCATTCCTGGATCAGAGGTTCCTATTCATAGCCCCTCATGTCCTGGTCACTTCCTGTCTTGATTATTGCAACATGCTCTATATGGGGCTGCCCTTGAAGAGCATCCAGAAGCTCCAGTCGGTGCAAAATGCAGCGGCCTGCATGGTTTTGGGCAGACCCCAGTGTGCACATGTGTCACCTCTCCTGCAGGAGCTGCATTGGTTGCCGATTTGCTCCCGGGTGCAATTCAGGGTGCTGGTTATCACCTTTAAAGCCCTTCATCTCTTGCCAGTCACATCTACCTGACCCATTAGAGCGGGAAGGCAGGGAATGTTGTGGGTCCCACCCCTGAGGGAGATACACCTGGTGGGACCCAGAAGAAGGGTTTTCTCCGTGGTGGCTCCCTCTCTCTGGAATATCATCCCCCAGAGATTAGAGTGGCCCCCACTCTAGCACTCTTCCAAAAGGCACTGAAGACCTGATTTTGCCAGCGGGCCTGGGGAACCCCGAGAGGGATGGAGCCCATCAAATGGCTAGTGTGATCTGCTGTCGTTGGGGCGGGGGGATAGGAGTTAGTTTTTGTTTTCCCAAATTTTGTTCTATTGTACTTTATAATTTATTTGATTCTTTTTGTTAGTTTTAATTGTTTTTTATTTTTATTTTTTGTTTTAAATATGGTTTTACATTGTGTAAGCCGCCTTGAGTCACCACGGGCGAATAGGCTGCAATATAAATTAAATAAATAAATAAATAAATAAATAAATAATCAAACAATCAATATATTAGCTGTAACAACATTGGCAAAACTTGGTTTAAACTTTAGCAAATAATCTGAATAAAGATTACAGGCATTCATGAAAGACACATATAATATACTCTCTCAATACTGGCTTTTGAAAAATAAGAACAATATGCAACCCATAAAGTGTTACCTTTTTTCCAATTGAGATTGTCAAAATATTATATAAATATTATATACATAACTGCATCAGAAACCAGTTGAATGCATTTTGATTTCTGAATAATGAAAAAGTGAACAGTTTGGGATACTGCTGTTGGCCAACATTTTTGCTATTTAAAAAATAATTAAGCCAAATCCCAAAGATGCTTTTTCAAGAGGCAACTGCACTTTCTGGTTTTTCAGCTTTGAGCTGAAGAAGTTTCTTGGATGAGAAGCAAAATGTCTTCAAAGAAAAATCAGAAAGTCCAGTTGCCTCTTGAAAAAGCACCTTTGGGACAATCATGACCTGGATGACTGAGAATCTCCAAAGACAATTAAGCCAAATATTTATGTAAACAAAGTAACACTACATCAAATATGAGGACCTGATTCAACATTTCATAAGTCAACACAGCTTTTTAATTTTGAAGACTCGGATATTTACCTGAATGTTTCTTCAACACTCTTGCAAGTTCTTTAATAATTCTTATACAATCAAGTCCCTATGATAGAAAAAATGTTAGTATAGCTACAGTATTTATATTAAAAAACCCTTATCCATTTAATAGGTCTCCAGCCTCTTTGCAGCATACACAGGTTTAATTTAAGTACTTGATGCTATTTTGAAGCATGTCTTTGTAATACTAGGTACTGGCTTCTATACTATGTCTAATCCATTTTTGATTTTGAAACTGCAAGCGTATGCTAACTCACAGAAATATTCGCATCAGAAAATGGAAGCATCTCGCAGTCGTGACCCAAATGTTGCAAATATTTAAATTGCCAAGGACTTGTTAAACTTTGTAAGGAAAGGAAAAAAGAATGCAAGCATGCAGTTCTTTTTTTTCAGTTGCAAGAGATGTAAAAGTAGAAATAGTGCCTGTATTGTGTATTATTTGGTGAGGGTTTCAAAACATTATACAGTTTAAACAGTTGAATATAGATTATTTTTCTCTTTCAAACAGCAGTCGCTGTTTTCCAAATTCAGCTTAATTTATACATTTATTTCTGAGTGCAAATTACTGCAATGAGACTTATCTTCCACTCATATCTCATATCTGATGTAACTACCAAGGACAATACAAGCCATCAAAACAATAACGAACAATCAATATGGTTTGAATAATGGTATTTTCCTAACATTTCTTAAGCATTTTACTGATTTTAGATTGATATAATGGTAGCTACAGCAGTGTTATGCCATACACGAATACCTACTCTGAATGAAAACCCAGTTTTTCTGAATTGATATGAGTGGAGTCTGATTTATTAGCTTTTATTTTCTTACAGTACCTCACTATGGATTTCGAATAACAGAGAATAGAACCCTGCTGAGACTATTTTAGTAGTTTGGTGTCCAGTCTGTATACCAAAACTATAATGATGGGTAACCAAACACATCTGTGCACACACATATAGAACATTAGCAGTTTACAAAACAAAAAAGACACATACAACACATATTTATGTTCATCAAATTGTCTATATCGACAAGCTACCTCAGCAGTTTCCAGACCATCAATTGTCATACAAATATCAAGATCGCTTTGCTTGAAGCCAAATCCATTCTTTGAAGACCCAAACAAGTTTAATTTTGTGCCTATAAAGAAGGATATATATCTATGACTAATTCACACAAACTTTTAGCATAGTTAGCAATACATGCTTTAACATCAGATTACTTAAAAATATAAGAAAATTGGGTTCAGCATACAATATTTTTCTATCAAGCAAGGCATTTTGTTTGAACAAGATTTTGATGAAAATAATAAAAATCACTTTAAATCTCTGAATTTAAAATAAAAAAAATTAACTACAGGAGGCACCTGGAAATTCTTGTCGGATGAAACCTTCAAGATTTTGTCTTATATATTCCCGAGCCTGGTCTTCTATAACATTTGGAGCAAAATCTTCTGTTGGAAACAGAACACAATTTACATTCATTTACAAATGGAACTGTGGCAGAAAGTAAGAGACACACAAAACAAGCTGTTCTTCTTTTGCTTGAGTTTTAGTTTTGGTTTTACAAATAAAAAATGTTAACAGTAAATCAGTTATAGCCATTATGAAACCAGATAGGAGTAGCAACACAGATCCAGGTACAACCGGTATAGTAGGGCAAAGCTTGGTAGGAAAATTTAAATTAAAAAATGGAGGATCACATAACTGGTAACAAAAAAATGGGTCAACATCTTTCTCTTCTGATAATAAACCCCTATATTCCAAGTAGAATATAGTTGCAGGAAACTATTAATACTTTTTCTGTTAACTATTAACAAATTATTAAAATATAGTTCTTCCAGCTTACTGTAACATTGAATGCACACTTGATCCAGAATACTAGAAAACTTGGACGTTAATGGTGGCAAAGGATCCAGTTCAATTTTTTTAAAGTCTTCTGGACAGTCCCTCTTTAGATGACCTTCTCGCTTACATAAACTGCATACAACTGTAGGAGTCTAGATCAAAAGAAAATATTTATCTGAAAATGTCTCTTCTCTCAACTTTATTAGACCACCTAGCTCCCAAAATTAAAGAGCAACCATTGTTCAGTCTTGGATATATATTGATGATGGGTGAAATCCAATGTACTCCCAGTGACTTTAGTAGATCTGAGGATATCATTCTCCCATCATCCAAATATTTTTCAATCTTCTAACCTTTCAGAGCAAATATTTAATATCTTCATATCTCAATTTGGTCTAATACTTTTGCTTCATATTCTGAAACAGCCAAAATGCGCTATAATATATTGCAATTAGGACAAGAATGTTCTTAATTCCCACATGAGCGATGTTTCTCAGCTGCTTAGGAAATCAGTGATGGAGTATATTATAAATAGGATATGCATCACACCACACTACTCTAATCAAAGATGAAATTTAACTTCACATTATAAATACTTAAACTAGAAGTTTGCTATGATCTTCTATTTACTTTAACAGGAGACAGAAGCTCGCAGATAATTTGTCTGTGAATACAAACTGGCAGGAATTAATATTTCAGGATTCAGCTGGGTACAACCATGGATGGAAATCACTTTAAAACACATTTGAATCCAGATTCTTATATGTAGAATTTGTAGGTCAAATTTTATCAGTGTGGATGTTAAGTCCTACTTCTACGGATAAGTCTGTCCTGGAATTAAAGCATTTTATGATTAGTAATACTTTGATATATAGGTGCTATTACCTTGCCTTTTGTGAAAGCAGCTTTATTAAATTCATAGAAGAATTCAAGCTTATTACTCTGGTCTACTGGCTTGTCGCTTTCAGTAAGAACTTCTTTTTCAGGATCATCTTCTTTGTTCAAATCTACACTTGAAAATTCATCTACTCTCTTCTTTAGCGCAATGTCCCCATGAGCAATAAGCAATTCCTCTTCGGAAAGAGGTTCTTCAACACCAGATCCAGTGTATGTATTGTCCAGCTCATCTTCGGTATTGATTATGTTCTCATGTTGCCCTTGGTTTTTAATACTATGCTCTTCGTCTTCTTCCTCTGTTTCTTCCTCCTCATCTTCTTCCGAGTTATCCATTTCAGATACTTGTTCCTGAGTTGGCGGTTCCAGTTTGAACAGGGAATCATCCAGTTCATCAGTACCTTCTGTGCTCACTTCATTAATGTCAAGTTTATCATTTGGAATACCACTGTCTTCTAAACCAAACTCCTCAAGGACAGTTATTACATTTTGAAAATTTTCCAAATCAGAAATGCTGTCTGTTTCAACATCATGCTCACTAATTCGAATAGCAAGATCTCCACTTTCACTGTCTTGGTTACTATCCAAATGTTCCTGTACATGCCCCTCTTCCTCCTCTTCATTTCCACTCTCAGTCTCTTCACAGCTTGGTTTAAATTCCTCATTGTCACCCGAAATGAATTCTTCAATTATGCAATCTGAGTCCTCATAAGACATTCCTAAATGTTCACCATCTGCCAACTGTTCTTCCACAAAGTTTTCATCAATAAATACCTGAGAAGGCTCACACATATGTTCTTCAGGAAAATATGAACTTTTCTTGGTAGAAGTTATACAGCTGTCTATTACAGTATTCTCCATTTCATTATGGTCATTTTTTATATCAGGGACTGTTTGCTTAAAGGCATTCTTCTCAGGTTCTAGAGGTATTGAGCCCTCTAGAGATTGTATTTGGTTGTTTTTTGCATTCTGTTTATGAGGCAAGGCAAAATACTTGTAAGTTGACCGTAAACAATGAAGTATATACTCATATACTAACTGACTATTAAGAGTTCTTGCCACATTCCTCTTTACGGAATAAGGATCTGAGGAGAGAAAAAAGGTAAAAAGTGTTACGGAGGATTAAATATTATGCTCATGTTTTCATTCTTTAAATGTATTAACCAAACAAGAATAGGCACTAATTTACCTCAAGCCTTTCAATCAATCATTAGGCTGAGAAACCTATAGAAATATAAGTAGTACTCATTTTATTATTGGTTGCTTAGTGACCTTTCAAAGTTCTAATGGACCTATTTGGGGGTACTTATGAGCTGGATTCAATGACCAGGAATCACAGGCTTCCTCCAGTCACATGACTACACTTCAGGCCTACATAACTGGGCCACATTTACATGTATTTGTACTGTCTTAAAGTTGACTGTGTTTTATGACAGTTGCTAAAAACAGGCACTTACTTCCTATTTTTAGCAAAACCATGTCCATGGCTAACCATTGGTTCACTTAACAACCATGATATTATGTAATGACTGTGGATAAGCTTAATGACCACGATAGTTTACTTAACAACCGCTGCAAAAAAGTTAATAAAATCATATAGGTAACATGACTGCCTGTTTTACAAACTGTCACAAGTTATGACTCTGATGAGCAGTTGTACCTCAAGGTCAACCTGTGTATTACCCAATCCACATGACTAAGAAATGAACATTTAAGACTTGCAACATGAATACAATGAGCATGAGAACCAATTTAACCATTGTTCAATAGATCACAAGTTCTGAATTTTCACATTTTATTTTACTGAGCCCCGTTAAGTCAAAAAAGAAGCCTGCCTTCAAAATATGCTCTAGTTGAGATTCTGCACAATATATTTTGCGAATGTTAGGAAACTGTACCTTCCTGTTTCATCAGTAAAAATCATCTCTGCTGACCAGAGTTAGTACTGGATTTTATCTTTTAATTCATAATATATAGTGATATAAGTTTCTCCTATACTGAACATAACTAAGCACTGGCAAGCCAATCTATATAATATACCTTCCACAGCAATTCTTTTTTTAGGCCAGTCCTTGGATTCACGAGCTAGTTTTTCTTTGAGCCGTATGCTTATCACCAAGTCAGACAGATTAAACTCCAAGGCATAAAAACGAAGCAGTTCAACCCATAGCTGTCCAATTGGAACTGAACACTGTTGATCTGAATCAAATACTAAAGGAACCTGTCAATCAAAACAAAAATTGAGTCAGTGTTCACCCAGAAGCCATATTTGGAAGCTGACAAATATGACTGTACTATTGTTAATTCTTTTAAAGAACGAGTGCAAGGTAATGACTAAAACATCTAATGAATGAAACAAAGGGAGTCTAATAAAACAAAGGTAAATAGAACAATGCCTTGTGTGGAGGGTTGGGCTGAGACTGAATGAACAAATCACCAATCCAATTATCATGCCTAAGGCATCTTCCAGTGCCCTACTTTTTAGGCCAGCACCTTCACCACTATACCAAACTTGCTCTTTGAATAGGCTAAACACTATTCTAAGTATTTATATAAAGTATAAAATGTTGCAGACAAATTAGGAAAGTAGTCATGTGATTAGATTAGATTTCTTTCAATACCTGAGCTCTAATAAAAGCTCTGTTGTGAAACTAGATTGTTAGGGTTAAAATATATGATTCTGTCAAGAGCACAAGCTTGTCCTCAGAAACAATATATCATGAATTTCTTTTTAAACATTTAACTTGTTTAAATGGATATGGGAGATGTCTGTCTGTCTGTCTGTCTGTCTGTCTATCTATCTATCTATCTATCTATCTATCTATCTATCTATCTATCTCTTTGGTTATTCGGGTTTTCTCCCGCGTAAAATTGGAAGTATCTAGGCAACGTTTTGATGAAGTATCATTCATCATCTTCAGGCTTGTGTCTTCAGCTTTGTGCTTCTCGGAGTAATGTGAGCTTCTTCCTTTTAACTGCTTTTTCCTTTGCAGCTGCTTCTTCCTTTTAATTGCTAGTGGGGGTGTGACTTGATTGGGTGGGGGCTTGGCTGTGTTTTGATTGGGTGGGGGTGTGCTCTCATTGGTTGGGGGTTTGGCTGTGTTCTGATTGGTTGGGGGGTTGGCTGTGTTCTGATTGGCTGGGGGTGTGTTCTGTTCAGGTGGGGGCTTGGTTGTGCTCAGGTTAGTCTTAGTTGCTGGGGGATATATATATATATATATTCCAAGTATATAGGAGTCCTCGACTTTCGACCACAATTGAGTCCAACATTTCTGTTATTAAGTGAGACATTTGTTAAATGAGTTTTGCCCCATTTTATGACCTTTCTTGCCATAGTTGTTAAGTAAATCACTGCAATTAACAAGTTAGTAACATGGTTGTTAAGTAAATCTGGCTTCCCCATTGATTTTGCCTGGCCAAAGATTGCAAAAGATGATCACATGATCTTGGGACACAGCAATGGTCATAAGTATGAACCGATTGCCAAGCATTCAAATATTGATCACATGATCATGGGGCTGCTATAAATGTCACAAGTGTGAAAAATGGTCATAAGTCAGTTTTTTCAGTGTTGTTGTAATTTTGAACAGTCACTGAATAAATTGTTGTAAGCCGAGAACAACCTGTACTCAAAAAAATTAGCAGAATGGCGCAATGATTTGTTCTACACCTATAAGCAGATGATAAGAAAGGCAAAGATTATTCCAAAGGCTTTTCCATTAGGACAATTCCTCCTCCCCATTGGATCCTTATCATCAGCTGCTGTAGGGAAATAATTCTAGAACAGAAAGAAGACAGGCTGACAAATGCCCTCCTCAAGCCAACTCCAGCTGATTGCCCCATCAGACATCATCACTGGTCATCATCTGTCCTACAGGAAGTATACTAATTAGTAGTTCCTCTAAAAAAGGTGGCTTTTACTAATGACTGATATTCTATTCTGCCCCTCAAGATAACTGTGATTTAGCTTACACTTAAAATTATTCAAAATCATTCAATTTCTAATCAAAATTGAAAGGTGAAAAATATGGTAGTCATATTATTACAGTTCATTGGTGTACTTCTATTTTAACTATAACCTGGTGGATTCTAGTTTCTGTATCTTTGTTATGTACTTAGCTCTGAAACCAGACAAACCATTATAGAACATACTAAATATATCAATTACTTTATTTTTAAACAAATATTACATTTGTTAAATACAGTATTTGTTTCCCATGCTAATTTATAGATTCCATGGTTTTTTAATTCTCTGGTCCTGAATAGAGAAATTTCATACTATACTGGTCATCAAGATTTGTTTACTGTAATTAACGGAAATGTTCTACAGTAAGGCTTCCTTTTTAAATAATGCCCACATTTATTTGATGGCACTTTTTTTAATTCTGACAATTGCAATCAGTTTATTGAAACCTACTTCATTATAAATTAGCAACACAAGCTTTTTGAAAATGTATATTTAAAGCATTATATCTCTATAATTAATTTGTTAACATACCTTTCCCCTTTTAGGAGAAGATTCCTTTGAAGAACTGGGATCAATACCAGGGCTGTATTCCCAGACCACAGTATTATTTTCAACTTTTTTAAGATTAAAATTCACTAATTTGTTTAATGAAAATCCTCCAATCTAATGTAAGGGGGAAAAAACCATTAGAAACAATTACCTCAGAAAAAAAAATCAACATTAAAGACAGAAATTTTAAAAAGATTTCACTTCTCTCCAAGATACTATTTTGGTCGATTCTGTTTTTTTGCGACAGTCATTTTAAAAACATCTGGATGTGATGTTTTGGATGAGGTAATACCAGAGAATTATGTAATGTAAAGATACTATTGTTTCTAAGTCCTGGGTTTTTTTTACATCTGGCTTTGTATTTTAACATGCACTGTACATATTTTCCAGTTTTCCAGTATTAATCAAATATTCCTTCTGTGATCATAGCTAATTTAGACTGTTGATATCTATGAGAAGCCATGGTTTGTCTTTTACAATTCATTATTTTCATTAACAGTTAGTCTCATTGGCTGTTCTTTATGCTATTAAAGATATTCTTTCTTCATGAACAATTTGGAAAAAGGGCTATTTTTTTCTCAAAACAGCATTCAAATCAACAAATATTATGAACTATTTAAATACATAAAAGCAGCAGCTAAAGAATAATGACTAGACTAGCTTTTTCTTTGTATATTAAACACGGTGTCAGCACTAAAACACCTGACCTGAAAATAAATTCCACAATTAGGAAATTATCTTCCTGAAGATATTTTTTCTAGGGTGCATGTTTTAATGTATAAATCTGAGACATACAAAAGTGGACCTTATTTTAATATTTTAATTGATTAGAATGATCAGATGGAAGATGGCAATAATTGAGTTAAACTTGGCCCTGATAACTTAAATGCCATAATCCTACTCTGTTAATTCTGGATCCAGCACAGAACTTTAAAAGTGAACAAAATGTCATCATTATAATAGATCACAGCTAATATCTAGATTAATTTTCTGAACCTATTATGAGATTTTACCACTGCTTATTATCTGCTACTCATTCCCTACTCAGTCCTTATTAAATTAAGGACATTTAATAACTGCTTATAACCAATAAAAGCCATTATAGCTTTTATCTTTGTTATTCATAGGACTATTGATCAAGGCAGAATCTGCTCTCAATGCATGCAGTCAAAGAAGGCATGATATGGGTCTCATTTCATCCAGAATTGAGAGGAATGATAATTCAGAACACAAATTCCCTGCTCAAAAAATGACTCTTACTCTGCTATCATTCAGAAAAGCAATTAAGATTGTGTCATTTCAAAGGGCTTTTGGAGGGGAGGGCATTATATATACTGCCAGTGTGGCCCATGAGCAGTCAATCAGCCAGACCAATGAACTGTTACAATTCTGTTAATTTATTTCATCGATTTTGAACTGTGTTAATGTAATATGTACCGTACAAGCAATAATAAATAAGTAACTTTCTCCCTCTTTTTGGAAAAAAGTAGAAATTTATAATCTCAAAGCTACATAAACACAAACTGAAAACATTTTATCTGCATTTAAGAATTTTTATAGACACATACCCATGAACCTAAATAGACAGGCAGAAAAGGTTCCTTCCTTTGTTGCAGAAAGAAAATAACCATTAGAGCAAATACATAAGATGGTAAACCACCTTCTTCAGGATGATCTATACAACATAGCTAAAACAGAAAGAAAAATATTTATTAAAATAACATTATCAAATGTGTCCACTTGACAGTTCATGAATTTGAAGAAACTAATCACACTTTTACTATAAAATATTTAAATATACTCCTAGGGCCTAGGCAAACTAAAAAGACAGTTCTATACTTCTACTTTTGAGTTATACACTCACATGTAGCTACAGCAATTTTATAGACTGGGCCATGACACAGTACCTAATTATAATCATATGATGACATCTAATAAAGCTGGATATATAACCATGGCAGACATGGCCACTCCTTTTCACCAGGCTATATGACTAAGACTTATAAGCTTAATGTAAGGAACAGCTGAAGGGTGTATTCATTTGCAGTAGAAATACTGCACTCTTTCTTTCTACTACATAGTGTATATTTAAAGCTACTCTTATAGAAGAAAATACTACAGAAACTGAAACAAACTACTGTAGAGTGGGATCAAAGAATATTAATAGATCCAATGACAATGATTAGGAAATGAATGAAAGGGGTATGTGTGTGTCACACTATGGCAAAGCTGCACAATCCAAAAAGTCAATGTGCTTAACTTTATACTATAACTTGATATAACTTAACCATAATTTCAACAAATTGGTTTTATTAATTTTATTTATTACCTCCGTATTCTTTTACTCTGTTACAATTCAGACTCATAATAATATAAAAGCGAGCTTATCATAGTAATCTATTTCAATAAAAACTTCTGCTGATTAACAAAGTCATCTTTACTTTTGGGAAGAAAATTCAAAATCTGGGATAGCCACAAATACTAACCTTTTCTAAACTACTTTAGGATCACTGATATATTATTCTTATGGATGTATGTACTATTTAATGATTAATAAAGAAAACTACTAAATATTTCAAGAAATTGTGGAATAGAATCATTAAAGAAAGGATGCAAAAAGAGAGACAGAATGAAATGTGAATGGCAACAATTTTAAAAAATATTTATTTTAAATTGGATTGTTAAATTATGCCACAGCAAGTTGCCCCACAATAAGTTGGTTGTGGTGAGTTGTCCCACAGAGAATTGGCCGTGGTGAGTTGGCTGCAGTGAGGGGAGGGTGGCTAAAGGAAGGGTAAATCCCTTTGCAGTAATAGAAATATTGAAATCCGAGCTCTGCTTCAAAAGTTATGTATTCCTACTAAATGGAGTTCTACCATCCATTTTGAGATATGCCTTGGGATAACTTGGGATAACATTTGGGATAACATTTACAGGATGCATCTCCTTACTTTTTCCAAAACAAACAGAGTACACATGGAATATATATTTGATTATATATTAATAAACATGCTTTGCTACTAAACCAAACCTACCTTGGCCCAGTGTCTGAAAGCAATGACCAAGGACACAAGATGAGGCTCTAATCTTCCAAGCATAGCCAAGTGATTGGTCGTCAGACAAGCATTATCATTTCCTGCACTTACTCTGCAAACAAGGCCACTAAAATAATAAACACAGAAATGTTAATGTTTTTCTGACTCTGGGATATGCAAAATGAAGAAGAGCAATACACAACTGGAAAGGAGTGGCTGTGGTGGAAAAGAATAATGCTACATTCTCTCCATCTTTTTTCTGCGATAAAATTTCTGGTAGAAATCAAGGTGATGCAGTATCATGAGCAGAACTCTCTATTCAATGCCAACGAGTACTGATTTTCCCCAGGGCATTAAAAAGAACTTCATCTGCTGCTACCCCTGTTGTTATTGCTGATGTTACTGCTAAAAATTCCACCTTCCTTCCCATACCAGACTCAAGTCAGCTAACAAGAAGTAGTAATTTAAAAAGTACTTAAAATCTAATATTGAAATATATTGAATATTGAATCATTTAACTACATTGAGCTTTAAAAAAATAGTCATTTGAAATTTTCATTGTGCATTTAAGCTAGCTTCTGGGCAAGACCCTTGAATGAAAAATAGCACTTTTTATTTCAACCTAAATGGGACCACTATATTAACATACGCTGGAAGTATATCCAGAGATTCATTATACAGACAAGCAATTACAATGATAGTTCTTTGAAATTATTTGATACTTACTTCTGTTGTTTGATTAAAGTACACAAGCTTACATGTACATTATTAATTAGGGTTTTTGTTACAACAGGCCTGTGAAATGGCATTCAATTAAAGACACGTAGAAGAATTTAGGAATGATTAGGGCCTGAATTAACTAAATTGCATATCTACTGTATTTGCCATTAGCAGTGAAGACCATTGATTTGAAACAGTGCTAATACGGTGATTACCCAGTGCAAGTAATTTTAATGTATTTAGTTGCATATAAATTGCAACTAAAAAGAGTAAGAGGCTAGGAAACCTCAGTTATTACAATGATGAAAAATGAAATTTTAGGCAAGTAAAATTTATAAAGATAATGAAATAGTTATATTTCACTATTTACTTCAGGATAATAAATCCCCCTTTTCCAGATTGGATTCCCAGTGCTGGAAAACCTGAAGGACAAGGCAAGGGACAGGTTATCATAGGAAAAAAAAATCTATGTGGTTATTAGGTGTTGAAAATGACTTGATGGCACATAATCAAAATGAATACTAAAACTATGGAACTTTTTGCTCATTTTTATAGTATAATCCAGGGGTCTCCAACCTTGGCAACTTTGAGACTTGTGGACTTCAACTCCCAGAATCCCTCAGCCAGCAAAGTTGCCAGGGTTGGAGACCCCTGGTATAATCCATTCATTGAAACTTATTTCAGCCAGGGGTTTGGGTGAACATGTAGCTAATGTTATGGCCAGTTCAGCGAACCAGCAAATCCCACCCCTGGCTGGTCCCGTCTTTCCCTCCCCGCTCTACCCATCCCAGGATTCTCCATGTGGTCCGTTTTGGATGCAGGGTAAGTGCAGGGCCTGCGTGGAGGCTCAGGGAGGGTGAAAAATGGGCCTCCCGGAGGTTCCGGAAACGGGCCCATTTCCGGCTTCTGGAGGGCCTCCAGAACCCGGGGAGGCCGTTTTCACCTTCCCAGTGGCTCGACGAAAGCCTCCGGAGCCCAGGGAGGGCAAAAGTGCCCCCTGTGCTGTGGTGCACGAGGCTGACTAGGCCACGCCCACCCAGCAACCGGGCAGAGAACCGGTTACTGAAATTTTTGAAGCCCACCCCTGATTTCAGCATATGTAAGTTAGGATTGCAGATGTTTATGGAGATTCTCAAACATCCAGGTTGTTTTTTTTCAAAAGGCAACTGGACATTCTTGTTTCTTTTCCTTGAAAATGTTTTACTTCTCATCCAAGAAGTTTCTTCAGTTCTAACTCAAATTCTAGTTCTAATTAAAGTCCAGTTGCCTATTGAAAAAAAAATCACTGTTGGGGTTAGGATTGCAGCCATTATATAATCATAGTAATATTCCAGTATCCCAACCTTAACATTTTTGGGTAGAAATCTTGCATAATGTAAAACATGCCAACTGGAAGAAAATACAACTAACGAGATGAAGAAAGGAGACACCACCAGGCTACTCTAGGGCTGAACTATGAAATCAAAGGCACATCAATGAAGAAACACTAATACAACATTGCTAAGAAAAATACATAGCTGCCGTTACAAGCAAATGAGTTTAATTTGAGTGGAATGTATTGTTAAATAGTTTGTAATAAATGAAAGAAATGTTTCGTTCAATAGGAAACTGCTACCACAAAATATAAGAAGGCTGCCAACTCAGCTTTAAAGGAGATTAGATAACCATGGATGTTAAGACTGTTCATACTTAGTAATTATTATTCTAAGATATGAAAGAATCATGGTTGCTATATTCCACTAGTAATAGCTCTTGCTGAGGACACCAGCAGCGAAATGCTATTGCACCTGCTTACAGCTTCCCAAAAACTTCCAAATGAGACTGCAGGATCAAGATGCTAGACTAAATAGGCTTTTCATTTGATCCAATGGCTTTTATGGATTGGAATTCACTTTTATTGTTGCTCTGTAAGTAGAGCTCTTTGGATTTTTTTAATAAAAATGGTAATTTAGGTGTGGCCATATATAATTTATATTATGATATATTATAGGAACACACAAATTTGCTAACTGAGACCTTTGTTTTTCTTTGCACACCACCACAGGCACTTTAGCATGGAAATCTGCATCAACATCAATAAAAGATTCTAAGGGAAAAAAGAAAGCCACATTAATCATGGTACCAAAAGAAACATGTCTACCAATGTGTCTCTCCTGAAGAAAAAATGAAACAGAAAATGTATATTTCATTTCTGTAGTTTATTGGTGGACTCACATTGATGTAATTTGCATGAAACAAGTGAAATCACAGTATAGAATTGCTATTTGAAATGATCAGGTGTGGGTATTCCAGATGGTAATTACTAGTATATAGTTTATTGCACTTGTTAAATAAATCTTAACAACTGAACTTCAGTTGCAATAGCAATACAAATCTATTTCAGATTATAAGAAAATGAAATAGAATATGTTTTCAAATGTTTAGTTTTTTTAAAAGAAATATTCTGTCCAGTTATGTAAAATACATGCTTGATCTTAAGTTTCTGCAAACTGCCTTCAAACTTTAGCTATGATTAGACAACCCATGACCCATTGGGTCAGCATCTCAGAGCTGTTTCCTACCCAGATTTTCAATGCCTTCAACAGTGACACAGCTCCTAATGTAATATCTTTACTGGAAAAGTTCTTTAAAAATTGGGGAGGTATTCAGAGTTGTATTTGCTTTGAAAATAGCCCATGTTGAACTTTATAGCATGGTCAAACATCAGGAGTTTATCACAGAAAATGTAATAGGACAATTTGTATTATATCATAAATGCAGATTTTGGACACATTCTGTAACTAAGCCCATATGAGTTATCTTGATTCAAAAATTGTTGCCCTACAAAATACACATTTTGCCCAATTAAGATTACATAATCATCAAGGAGATGTTTAGTACTATGTATATGATTTTGTGGAAATGAAACAAAACCTAAAGCATATTTCTTGACATTAATTCATGTATTACATATTATATTGAACATCTGAAGATTTCTTTCAGCAGCAAGCGTTCATTAGAGGCCTCAGTAAGCTGGCCAAATTGTATCTTCATTAAAACATGAAACTAGCTAGATGGACATATCATATAAGCAACATATATAAATTGAGCTTGACTAGCAAAAATTTGACTGTAAGTTCTATTTTTTTCATTCATTCCTATGAAAATACACTTGGATTGAATGGCAAACTGGTTATAATTAATGCATGAACAATTGTTATAGAATGAGGTATGTCAACCAAATATACTGAATATTACCTAACTACTGCAGACTCTCTTCTACTGGAAGCTTTTTTTTTTTTTGTTCTGATTTACAATACTTACATATTGTGTCTTTAGTGAAACTCTGTTCTGAAAGAAATGGTTTCAGTAGTATTTTGTTTCCAATTTAATATGTCTTTAAGTATATATTTTATTCTTGATACACTAGCCTTATAAACCAGCAAACTAGAAGAACTAGTGTTCATTAGTCTTAATGAACTCATAAATTGGAATTCCCTATGGCAATCTAGTACAGGAAAGGCATTTCCCTTTGGGCTGCTAAAAGATCCCCATTAGTACATATGTCTAATCCGATATTTTGGCATTATGTCTTCCCATCACCATAATCTCTAAAGAATTTATGAGCAATGATTCATTCATACTTCAGTTTAAAATATTTTCGAGTGAAAATCACAGCTCAACAATCAAATTACAGGCCTGACCTCAAGCATTCCCCATTCCAACCCAACATTTCAATCTGGTGTCCCTGCACTAATGTCTCTTCTTTTTAATTGCTGTATACAGAAATGGATAATTACATCTATCACTGAGAAAAACAGAGATGGATGTAATAGCTGTGTGAACTCCATGCACTGGATGTTCCCAATGGTAGAAAAGGATTGGAGGAAAGAAGAAAGAACCAATTCCCTTATTCTCTGATGCTCTTATTCTTCCTGAATATTTTCTCCTGAAAGTTTGGGAACCCTTCAAAATAATATATCACAGCAGGCTAGGGGTTATAGGAAAAGAAGAAAGGAGCACAAATTGCCATTCTGCTCCTTTCCTCAAAGCAATAATCACCTTCCTTAAATATAAGGGCAACAGAGGAAGTTTTTCATTGATGGAGAGAAATTCTGATCCAATCTAATTCTTCTGGTCTGCTACCTAGCCACAACTAAATTTTTATGAGTGCAAAAGAATGCTATTTTTTCATGTCAGAGAAGGAAAAAAATTAATTGTAGACTGAACTCTTACCACTGCTCTTCAAGCTTTCTTGTCCAAGTAAGAGAACATCTGGTTGGGACATCTATGAAGAAGAGCAGAACAAAAGTTACATAAATGTAATATTTTCCTAAGCATTATTTCATTATTTCAAAATATCAGTCAAGCAGAATAATTGATATTCTAATCTCTTTTCAGTTAAACTATCCAATGAATGGGGTCCTCTTTGAAAATATTAGGAATAGTACAAAATTACTTTCTTCAAATGTTACAGCTGCTCTAATATAACTGTTCATTGTGACCTGTCTTCTGCCAAAGATCCACATGAACCCCAAAAATGTTGTGACTTCTTTAAACATCACCTTTTTAGGCTCATGCAGTCTTAAAAAAGGTGTTTGCTTTAATGAATACCTGTCAGTATTGCATGAGATCTGAAAAATTTTATTCTCAAAGTGTTCACAATGCTGATTAATACATTAAAGGGGGGAAGTTATTCTGTAGTATGGAGGATGGCCAATGAATTTTTAATACATAAATGTATAGGTTTATGCCAATAGGGCTGGATTTAAGCTAACATGAACAGTCTCCCACTCATATAGCATCTTATCCTTTTCCTTGCAGATCAAATAGGTTCCAAAGCGTACTTCAGCCATCTACACTAGATTCTACCACAGATCATGTGAAGAACTCATTTCAGAAGAAATATAAAAATTTTATATCAACAGAACAATACTATTACATTCAATCCATAAGTATATGCAGACTAGCTCGATATCCGTGCTTCGGCGGAAAACTATGTGGTCGGGCTTAGTTTTTGGGGAGGAAAATAAGAGGACAAAATTCTGCCTCTGCCTACCAGCATCCATCGGTATTCATCTGGCTAGTGTCCTGTCCAGTGTGTGAGAGAGTTGAGGGCTGTTTGGAAACTGAAACAGTATTTGCTGTGTGACCAAGGAGATAGCAAGGAGCCTGGGTGTGGCTTAGCTCAACTGTTTTGTACTAAAGCTGGCTGCTGCTGTGAAACTAAAACTGAAACTCCTCTCCTCTGCTTGTGTTTTGCATTTGGAACAGATTTCTGTTCAGGTGGGGAGGGAGAATAGAACTCCTTAGCATCAGAGCGTGTTAGTAATATACAAAATACTGATGCTCTGATGGTCATTTAGAAAAATCCTTTCTTAGTGAGCACCTAGAAGCCAAGAGGAACATACATGCCAAATTCAAGTTTGTAGGCTTTACAATTCTGGAGATTTTGTGATGATGTGTGAGTGGTATTTTGCTTTTATATATAGATTCAAAATTACTGATACAAACTTCTGTTAAACAAATAGGAATGTTATTTCTCAAAAATCAAATAAGTGTCTCAAATAAACACATTCCCCAAAGGTGTTATTTTAATCCATCAGTTTACAATACCAACATGGCACAAATATAGATTTAAGAGTCAGACTGCTACAATCCAGTTTATTCTGTATTTGCTAGTAAGATTAACATGCTTACACTGGATGGAAACTGGATATCGAGATTTATATCAGAATTTTTAAAGCCAAATCTGCTCCAGGAAGAACCATACAACCTTAGAGAACAATCTACAATGAAAGAAAATAATGTTAAAATCAAACTGAAAACCAAGAAAAACCCAGAGCTGTCCAAAACAGTCTAATCGAGAACTTTAAAAGGAGCTATTAAGAGGCCCAACTTTCAAAACCATCTGAAGTTAGCTCATCAAAGTCTTTATATCAATTCATTTTGTGACTTTTTTCACTAATATTTAAATTTTACTGTTTTAGGCACATATTTTACATTATGCTGCTAAGATGCAGGGAAAATGTTCACAAGCAATGATATGTTAAAAGTTATTAAAATAAAAATCTATGTATAATCATAATAACCTGGCAGTTTTGGTTGAAATACATTCTCCATAGTAGTTTTGATTCCAAGCCTTTGTTCTACATCTTCATTATTTAATCCAAACTCTTCTACTACTTTTTGAACGGCTATACCAATAGCTTCAATTTGCAAAACTGTTGGTGAAGGAAGTGCATTCAGCAGTTCTTGTTCTTGTTTTTCCTTTAAAGATAAAATGAAAAGCAATCTAAATATGTCAGATATTTTAACAATTTAAGAATATCAATGCTAACACACAAATCACTTAAACAATAAGACTATCTGAGTAGAAGTAGAGGCGGACTTGGACTCCCAAAATGGGAACTCTATTACCAAGCAGCAATACTATTATGGGTGAAAGAGTGGATAAATTTGAAAAATAAAAGAATTTTGGCAATTGAGTGCCACAACCTCTAAGCAGGGTGGCATGCCTTCCTATGGGATAAAAAAAAACAAGACACATTCATACTTCCATAGACATTTGATAAAGAGAATCACTACTGCAAACTTGGGAAAAGGTTAAAAGAAAACATTATCTGAAGATACCAAAATGGGCCTCACCAATGGAAGCGATATTACACCCAAATATGAGAGATACAAAGAAAATGGTCAGATATGAAGAACTATTAGATAATCAGGGGAAGTTAAAAATGATTGATAAATTAAAAGAACAAGATATAATTATAGATTGGTGGTCATACTTACAAATTCAGACAAAATTTAGGAAAGACTTAGAAGAACAGGGAGAGAAAAGGACTTACAACAACTGGACCAAATTTTGACAGGCAAGAGGTAAAATTTATAACAAGAATGTATAACTATTTGTTGGAAGTGGAATTAGAAGAGGAAATAGTAAAGGGATCAATGATTGCCTGGGCAAAAAATGTAGGACATAATATAAATTTAGAGGTTTGGGGAAAATGTGGATTGATAACTGTAAATTGACATTGTCAACAGCATTTAAAGAAAATCAATATAAAATGTTTTGTAGGTGGCACCTAGCCCCGGTAAGACTGGCCAAAATGTATCCAAACACAAAAGCAGAATGTTGGAAGTGTAAACACAAAGAAGGAACGTTCTTCCATATGTGGTGGCAGTGTCCAGAGGTTAAAAAATATTGGATGAGGGTACAAAGATGGTTATTAGAAATTACAGATCACAAATTAGAACTCAAACTGGAAATATTCTTATTAGGAATAATTAAGGGGAAATTAAGCAAGGTCATCCGATACATCATTATACATATCATAACTGCAGCGAGAATAGCCTTCGCACAGGGATGGAAGAAGGAAAAGATACCATCTGAAGACTTGACACAAAAAATAATGGATTGTGCGGAACTGGATAAATTCACAATGGAATTAAGAGGCAAAGATGATTCGGACTGTGGGAATAACTCTGACTCCAGTATTGAGTAATGATTAACCACATTGGACCATTATGCAGTTTGGGATGGGTGGTACAAATGGGTGGAGGATAGAAATAAGAGTTGATGTTTCATATAAAAGGAGAGGTATGTATTAATAACGACACAAACACTGTTAATGTGAATAGAGATTTGTATTTTTGTTTTTTAAAAATAAAATTTTTAAATATTTAAATAAATAAAAAATAAAATAAAAATAAAATAAAATATTTTTTAAAAAAGACTATCTGATTTTCCTTCATATCTTGGTTAAAAAAAAACCAAAAACCAATAAATTCAAATGTACCTTCAAAGGGCATTATAATTTATTTCTTCAATAGATAATAGATTATTATCAGAATATAGAAATCCCAATTAAATCACAAAAATATTGCTTTTGCAAGCAAGAGAGCACACATAAAATATTACTAATACATACAGAAGATTAGATCTAATTTTAGTTGTAACTATAGCTAGTTAAATCAATATCAATTCAGAACTGATTTTCAACTCTATTGATTCCAATAACATTAAATCTAGTGAAATTATGCATTTCAATTCAGAATTAATTCTAAGTTTATTGAGTTCAGTGGTTTAATTCTGAGTTTCATTACATTAAGATCCAACCCATTGTGCCCACATGAATGACAGCTGGAAGAGTAACAACATAAAATATAGATGTCTATCTCAAGAAGCTTACAATATAAAATTCCACACCAAAGAAAAATAAAAGCATTGTAAACAAACAAACAAGCAACAACAACAAATAGCTGCCAAGGCAGCAAACCAATTATGACAAAATAATAATCTTCATGAAATGGTGAAATATAACTTTGGAACTACAGTAGGGATCAGAATTTCCATTGCTAAGCAAGGTGGTTATTAAGTGAATTGTGCCTTATTCTATAACCCTTTTTCTTATGGTTGCTAAGCAAATCATCTCAGTTAAGTAAATCACATGGTTGTTAAGTGAATCCAGCTTCCCCATACATTTTGCTTGACAGAAGCCAGCTGGGAAGGTCACAAATGGTGATCCCATGAACCAGGATGTGCAACTATCATAAACATGTGCAGGTTGCTAAATACCTGAATTCTGATCATGTGACATTGAGGATGCTGCAATGTAAATCACAATTTTTAGTGCTGTTGTAACATTGAATGGTTGTTAAATAAATGGTTGTAAGGCATTCATTTAGCAGTAAGGATGTAAGGACTACCTGTAGGCAAAGAATTTGAGAAACAGTTTCTGATCCAAGGCAAATAAATGTCCCAATTACAGGTAGTCCTTGGCTTACAACAGTTCATTTAGTGACAGTTCAAAGTTACAATGGCACTGAAAAAAGTGACTTATGACCATTTTTCACAGTTACCACCTTTGAAGCATCCCCATGATCATGTGATCAAAATTCAGATGCTTGGCAACTGACTCATACTTCTGACTTTTGCAGCATCACAGGGTCATGTGATCCCCTTTTGCAACCATCTGACAAGCAAAGTCAATGGTGAATTCAGGTTCACTTACCAACTGGTTACTAATTTATAAACTGCAGTGATATACTTAACAACCGTGGCAAGAAATGTCTTTAAATGGGACAAAATTCACTTAACAAATTCTCACTTAACTACAGAAATTTTGGGCTCAATTGTGGTTGCAAATCGATGACTACCTGTAATGTATACCTGCTTGCCTGCTTCAATCTGCAGTCTGAAAGTCTCATTTAAACAACTACCTTTTTTCTACACTGACTTTTCTAGGAGGCCCTAAGCTTGCTAAATGGATTGCTGCCTAGCTCTATCGTGAAAATGAGTTGCTGCTCTTAACTGCTACTGTAATGTTATATCTGTTGAACATGGTACACAATTTCTGTTGTCTTGATAATTACATGGGCTTTATGTGCCATATCACATTCCACAATTACATGCCCACAGAATCCAAAGCAGAGTTAATAAGAAGAGCTAGTCAGAAATCAATATATTTTAGTGTACAGAGGCACAGAACACAAATAAGACCACATTTGTATTCTTCTTCTCCCTTTTTTACAACATCATGAAATTGAATATTGCTGTTTTTTTTACTGTCATTAACTTACCTTTATGTTTTTCTTGTGTCTTTTTTCCTTGATATGCTTATGAGCAAATGCCACTGACTCAATCAATACGTCACATAACCTGCAAGTATATTTAGCTGTTGGGTTGCTTCGAGGTCGCTAGAGAAAAATAAATTATGATTTTTTAAATTATATTTGTCAAGAAAAAATATATGGTCATAAAACATATTGGGAACTATCTTGCCCAATTAAAGCTGGGCAGATTCCAGTTTCTAGTTCATTTAATGACTTCATCTTTCCCATGTGCTCTGCACACAGTTCGTGTAATTAATCTTCACTCTCTGTTAAATTAGAGAATTTTAACTGCAAATACTGCCAAAGTCAAAGATAGTAAGCCAGGAACTTCAGAATGCTACCAGAGATTAACCAATTTTGTTATATATTGAGGCATACTATATTCAACTGCATTTACTGGTTTCCTGCAGCTATGTCTGGTTTGTTCTACAATACTTTGTCAGAACTGAAGTCCTTACATTTCTGTACTCCTAAAAACTTAGAATCGTTTAGTTTTTTTAAAAAAAATAGGGCTTGTCATTCTACCACTGTATATTGGGTATATCTGAAATTCTGTGCTCTGTAGGTAGTTTGTAACAGCCTTCTCCAGTCTGGAGTCTCCCATTTGTGTTAGATAGCAACTGTCACTTCTCATAAGCTGGGAAATTTGGAGATCTTGAAGGAACTGGGATAAGGCTAATTTTGAGTGTGAATATTAGCATATAACATTTATATTTTACGTATTCAGAATAGTATTCATATGCTACAACTGCAAAATTGTATTGAGGGTGATTCCACTACAGTGGGTTGCTCGTTAGTTTTTTTTACTTTTTAGATACTTTACTGCACATTTAAAAACACATGTTCAAATGTTACTCTAATATACCCGCTGGGCATTTGAATAAAAACTTGTAACAATTTATAATAGATTTACGTAAACCATTGCTACTTAGTATAAGAAAGCAAATCCCTGTAATTCTCAAATAGACAATTCTTATGCCTTCCCAAACTTGTTTATTTCTGCTTTTACCCAACCCTGGTTCACATGTTTAAATAAGCATGTATGTGGTAGAAACATTACCTTCCTCAGTCTATAAATGTAGTCTCCCTTAAGTCGTTCTTCAGCCTGCTGCAACCCCAGTAATTCTTCTGCTGTCAGTAAAGACTCATCTATAACAGGGCCATCCAGTTCATCATCCTGATCATTGTCTTCTTTTTTTATTCTTCTTGATCTCCTTGGTTTCCTATGTTTCTTCATTTCTTTTTTTGTGGTTATCAGAAAAAGAATTATCTTAAGATGTTGCATAAATTAACTGTTATTAGCACAACATGTTTTGGTAATATGGCAAAACTTTGCTGAGGAATATTGAGTAATGAAGTTTTGAAAGTAATGGTTTAAAAACTCTGGAGGTAGACCCAACCAGAGAGCATACAATACAGAAAAGATATTCAGAAAATAAATAAAAGTACAGCATAGTCCTGTGCAGGTTTATTTACATGTCTCTAGCATGGGTGCAATTTTAAATTTCTAGTAACATCAGTTTGAAAATAATGTGTACTTTTAAGCTCATGTTTTCCCTGTGTGTCCAATCACATTTGGCCAATAAAGAATTCTATTCTATTCTTAACATCAGGTTAAGTTGAATAATACTGCGTATAACATGAAAAAGGAAAAGCATGGTAATACTTAAATTTTTACTTAAAAACAAATGTCAGTTCTTAAAAAGAACCACTGCAATATTTGGAAGAGGCAGAGTCCTATAAAAAGCTCTCAGATGTGTATTTACATATGGCACACAAAGCAGAATTCAGCAAACTTATGTCCACTGAAAGGAATGGATCCTGTACAAAAGCAATACAGTACTATGCAACTTTCACATATTTTCATTTTAGTAGGAGTGGTAGAGCTTATTCCACCAGTGCTGTTACAGTTTTGACACTGAAACTTATTGGCAGCAACCTGAACCTATGGAAATTATGTCATTCCTAAAATATTTAAAGTAATGCTTATAATGGTTTTAACTGATATATTATGGGAGGTCAGCGGTATTCAACCACTTACCTCACAGAATACACTATTATATTCTCTGCAAAGAAACTTCTAGATTTGCCAGAGGAAAAGCTGAAGGTGTACTAAACCACCTAAAACTGTGCCAATGTTAATATTACATATCATTCAATCCTGGGCTGTTGATTTGAGCTCCAAGCTTGGCAATTTGGTTACAAACGTTTTGTTACCATTCGAGGCAACATTGTCAGTGTGCTTTGAATTGTGCTTGTCTGTCCGAGCACTGGCCTTTAAATACCTTTTTATGTGATGCAAAGTACACTGACGATGTCTCATCAAATGGTGATGAAACATTTGCAACCAAATTGCCAAGCTCGGAGCTCAAATCAACAGCGCAACTATCAACGTGAGCTACTAATATTCAAATACATTTCAATCATTCAATCCTCACAACATTGTAACAAGTCTACTTTAATATTTTCAAGGATTAGAAGGTAACTTCCAACTCTAAATGATGTAGCCAATATTCAATAGTTTATATCAAACTATTCAATAGTTTAATGGTTCAAATTATTCAATATTTAATAGTGTGAATAGTTTCAATAGTTAGTAATGACTGCAGAAAAATATGGAAGAGTGATGATCTACAGAAGTTGTATTACCAGAATTTCCTTTTCTATCAGATAAATCTTCACTTGTGAGGTCTCTAAAGAGCTGCCTTCTTCCACTTCTGCCTCCAAAACTCTCACATTCATGAGGAAACTCTTTCCGTGGTCTGATAATCACAGGTATCCGGGCTGTGGATTTGAATTCTCTCCAACTGCTGGAATTAGCTTGATGGTTGTCAGACACCCATTTCTTAATTTGGTCTTTTGAAGAATCATTTATTCTTGCCCCTTGATTGTAAACAATGTTTTTTGAAGAATTTGGACTATTCAAAGCAGCATGTGCTCCCTTTCTAGGACTTGTTCCATAATCACTTGATGTTCCCTTTCTTTTTTCAAATCTGGTGTCCACTTTGCTACTGTGTCCATTTCCACAATCGTCCATCACTTGACGTGAAGCACATTTCTGGAAATCCTCCTCATTTGTAAGTCCCCAGTCCTTATTACGTCTCGTATAGCAAGATTTTGCAGCATCGCCCATTGTAATAACTGTTTACTCTTTCCCTGTGGATGATGGAAAAAAACTAAAATAAAATTTCAAAATAAGATCAGGCGCTTGCAAGAGTATGGGATAGTTATGGGAACATATGGGATAGTTCAAATTGTCAGTCCCATATATCAAGACACAAGGCACCTGAAGCAAACTACAACCAAGCCACTTATATAGGACATTTTCAGTATGAGGTCTGTACTGTTTCTTTCAAGTTTAGCATAATACACAACAGAATACATCATGTTATAAAACTAAGATTATCATCCAAACACAATAAATGTATTACTAAATGTTCTAATATTGATGGATGCTATTTTAGCTATACAAACTAGAACAAATTAAATCAAAGTTCTCCAGCCTGATAGTTTCACGTGTGCTGGAGATACACATGTTGGCTGGGGATTCAGGGAAGGATAAGTATAGCAACTGAATAGTACCAGGTTGAAGGCTGAATAAATGTTCCAGGGAACCTATATGTTTTAGGAATTTATTTGAATATCTGTTTCATACATACCTAGCATTCTACAATGACTGTTATTCCAATAATGATCATTAAAGTCCCCCCAGTACCTAAAAAAATCACTAAGCTCCAAAGACTATATAGTAAATAAGAGGGTAAGTGGCAATATGCAGTGGTATTTTAAAGTAACGTTCTAAATTTATTCCCAAGAGACAGAAATTTAGAGAGAAATGGTACCAGTCTTAAAATTTTACAAATTGACTATATGTTGATGTGCCCTCAGTGCTCATTTTGGCAGTCTCAAATTTCAGAAGCAGGTTAAGAAAAAATGAGACATGATTTCTCATTAATTTCAGGCAAAAATAATATAAATGCAATGTGTAGCTCTATTGCCTCCAAAAGCAAACCATCCCAGCCCAGTCATTTCAGTGACTCGTATCATAGATCATTAAAATGACATCCTCTCCTTATGCAACTGCCAATCAGCAATATGATTTAAAAAATGAGGCCTTCATCACCAGGAAGGGAATCACCCATTTTCAGACTTAAATTAAGTCATTGTCTCCCCATTTGACAACCTTACAGAAAGGAGCTTATATATCTCCCTAGTGCAATGCTCTGAGATTGTTGAATCAATGGCAATTAGAAATGCAAGTAGATATGACCAGCTAAAAAAATAAATCAATAATTGCAGGCAAATTATAAGAGGACATATTTCAATTCTACTCTGTTCATTAATTCTTGAGGAACCAAGATAAGTTTTCTTGAAAAAAGTTAATCCATTAAATAATTTACTAGGCATGCCACATAAAACATACTAAATTTTAATCTGACAAAATAAAAACTGAAGCTGTTATGCTATAAATTTTATTTAACATGAAAATTTGATTTCTGTATCACTTTATTCTAATAAATCAAGGTAACTACTTTGAACACAATAATTTTTTAAAAAAGAGCTTGATTATAAGTTTTTTCCAAGTTGTTATAGTACAGCTTTAAGTATAAAGATGCACAGAAACCCAAATCTTACAAGAAAATTGAACCCTATTGAGCACAGACATGCCTATTTACAGAATACATTACTAAGTACTGTATGTTTATGTAGTAAAAACAGTGCCTATTAGAAACACCCAAAGCCTATGAGGAAGCCATGTGATTTACTAAAACATTTTTCAGAATAGCTGTTTGTTAGATTTATATGGCCACCCACTCACTGACTCTAGGTGGCTTAAGAACAACCAAAAAAAGTATAAAAGAATAAAAAAACCAATAACTTCCTTCCCCTCTGGTGACAACAGACTAGCAAACAAGCCACTTGACAGGCTCCATTGCACTCTTTATATGGCAAAGTGACAGGGCAGAACAAATTCCATCTAACTGTCAAGGCTGCATTCACCTGAACAAATACAAACAGCATTACCAGAGTATGTATAATGTCACTGTGTTCCCACATTTTTCTTTCCACCCAAAGAAATCACATAAACGTCCCACGAGGGTAGCTATATAGTATATTTCTAGAAAGAAGTAATCTGTCCAGTCTTAACACTAAAGTCTGACATGGAAAAAAAAATCAGATGTCATTTTAGCATCATGTCTTTATAGATTAGGAAGTATTCCTGCAGATACAGATTCCTGCAGATAAATTACTGTGATTTATTTCTGTAATTACTGCATCATCATCATCATCATCCTTATTATTGCATTTTCAGGAATGCTTCTAAATCTACAAGCACGATGCTAAAATGACATCTGATTTATTTATTTTTCATTTCACATTCACATTGCATTGTTAAGACAGGTAGGCAATAAAGGCCATCATTTAATAAAATGGGTAGATGCATTCAGTGCTGCTGAGAAAGCATATATTTTCTAAGCCGATATGAACCTTCTCAAGTGAATGGAGACGCATATGAAACACCTGTTCTTGCCACATCTGAACATTAATTCTGAGCCAAATATGGATCAAATAATCAAATCTGGTCTTCCTCAATCTTCCTCCCTCCTGCTACGCTTCAAGCCCATCTAGTTAAGGAGAAAGGAGGTCGCCGTCCAAAACAGATCGCAGAAGGCTATATAGTTATATGTAATAAGGTAAGCAGACGATAAAGGAAGTACACAATAGATTCGCGAAAACGTCTATGACAACAGGGGCAACTTGGGAGTCCTCCTTCCCAAGGGAACAGCTGCATCATCAGCCACAGCTGGAGGAGGAGTTCTAACCGAGGTAATGACTTAGGCCCCAAGGATGACAGAGCTCCAAGCTCTTAACGTCCGCCTCCATCATCTACTACAGTGCTCTTACGCTGGCATCGGGGAAACCCCCCCTCCCCCAGAGGGAATCCCACCGACCGGGGCTGCGGGTGGGTAGCTAGGGAGGTGGGTGGGGCCGAGGGCGTCAGGCTGTGTCCCCCTATACTCCGCCCAAGGGGGCGGGAGAGACGGGTCGACAAGGGACAAGGCGGAACTCACTTCGACGGGAATAACAGCAGCTCTTCTTCGGGCCAAAGGCTCTCGCCGGTCGTGCCTTCTCGCCCCTTGCCCCGCCCGCTTGCCGGCTCCTGTCCTTCCTTCGGTTACTGCTCTCCGTCCATTGTGCCAAGGCGGAAGCCCGCAGCAGCCGCAGTCGCACAACAAAACCGTCTCAGCGCCTTCCTCCGCCCACTCTCGGTCGCGCCGGCCTCTCTCCATCCGGCACATTCTGTTTACCTCACGAGGTGCCGGCGCCATGACACGAGAGGTAGAAGAAGACCCGCGCCTCCCCCCCCCCCCCCCCCCCCCACCCCCCCAAAAAAAAACCTACTGTTTTTTAACGCGTAGTTGCAAAGTTTAGGATCTAAGCTAAAGCAATTTTGCATGGTAAATTTATCCTACCTTGGCCTACAAAAAACAACAAACACAGGAGCCTGCCTCTATTCTTTCATTTGCTCTGAGGTAGATTAAGCAGAGGAAGAACCAACCGCTCCACAGCAGAAATGTTAACACGAGTGACAAAGGGTTTAAGGTCTCCCTTTCCAATCCTATTTGCCATATTGATTTTCCAGAATGCAACTGAAGCAAAGATAACTTTTGAATATGTGGCTTTTTTTCCTGACCACAGGTTTCTAGTTAGAACAGTAAAATGTTTCTTTTAGATTTTATTTAAGAAGGCCGTTGATTCTGAAGTTAGGAAATAGTTATTTCTGTAGAAAATCATTGTTTTCCTTCAGTGCAGGCCAATTGGAAGTATGTTACCAAAGTGGGCGGGTTAGAATTTACACTGCTTTAAAAGCCTGCTCCTCTGTTCTTAATATACAATCTTGTATTTGCAAGATGGCATAATTGTTATTAACTTAATAGTTAATAAACTATTAACTATAAACTATCTCTGAAGTTTTGTTCTATAAGGATAAAATTAATACAGTTGCCTGGCTATAAATCATAATTTTGAGCCTGTTTTTTTGGCCCGTTTTCAGGGCTGTTTTGGGGGCTTTTTTGGCCTGTTTTGGGGCAATTTTCAGGCTGTTTTTGGGGCCATTTTCAGCCGGCAGAATGATGCAGGAAACCATGGAGAGTAAAAATGAGGTGCCAGGGGGCCAGCAAGTAGCCTGTTTTAGTTGCCAGTGGCACCGCAGGCCGGTCCTTTGATATTTCAACTGAGATGTGCAACTGAGTATCATCTGTGTACGAGAAGTGGTATTCAGCAGGTTCTGCCAGTACTGGAGAACCGGTAGCGGAAATTTTGAATAGTTCAGAGAACTGATAAATACCACCTCTGACTGGAGATTTTACAGTATCCTTTCCCTGCCACTCCCACTAAGCCATGCCCACAGATCCGATAGTAAAAAAATTTGAATCCCACCACTGCTATACTGATACCATACCCAATACTGACAAATGATTTCCATTTGTATATAGCAAGGGTGTCAAACTCAAGGACCGCAGGCCACATCCAGCCTGCGGGGTGCTTAAATATGGGTCTGGTTGGATCTGGCCTGTGGGCCTTGAGTTTGACACCACTGCTGTATACAAACGGAAATCATTTGTCAGTATCGGGTACTGTATCAGTACACCGATGATACTCAGTTGCACATCTCCAATCCTAGCTGGTCAGGTGATCCTATTGAGGTTCAGGGCATTCATGATTTGGTCACTTCTCAGACTTGCAAAATGCTCTTTATGTGGTTACTCACCAGTGGATAAGTGATCATGATCCACGTTTCTTCCCTTAAATAATGCTTTACCGTGCTAGGGTAGAGCTTGGGGATATTTGTTGAGAGCATCTCAGGAGGTTGGCTGAAGCACCAAGTTTCATTTTTGTTTTTATGTTTTTTAAATTGTTTTTGTGATTTTTTTTTTGTTTTGTTTTAGTGAACCACCCAGAGTTGCACTCCAAGGTGGATATCTAAATGCATTTTTTAAACAAATGTTGAAATAGAAATGGTATGATACCCTCCATAATATAGCCCTTCTTTACATACCAGCACTGTAACATAAGCTAACAATAACAGGAATTGTACTATAATACTGTTCCTTGTATTACAGACAGATTAAATCAATGTGTGATACCCTTTTATACAGCAATTGCTTCTTTGATATAAAATTGTTTCCAAAACATCGCTGCTCAAATGCATCCATATTTTATTTCTCTCTTTCCCTCTCTACTGTCATGGCATGTGTGATGAGATAGAAATATGATATAATGGTGTAAACTGGGACAAAGCAGAGAACATTCAAACAAGACTACACAAGTGTTCTTGGTTAATTAATGTAATTAATGGCATGGCAATTTGCATGGCAAAAGCCTCTTTATGTTCTTGTATGCAACAGTCAGCTATTTTCAATAAGAGTGGGATAGAATATTTAGAATACCTATAAACCTTATATGTGGGAGAGATATAGATATTACAATCTGTGCTGCCTTTCAGGCAATTAAAAAATAAACACACAAAAAGTTAAATAATTTCACTATTGCAGTTTCCTGGCCATATAAGGTAAAGGTGTTATTAACTTAATGATTTAGCTGTCCCTCCCTGAAAACTAGACCAGTCTCACCACAAATAAATGAATATTTATTTAAAAAGAATATAACAAGGTATTTCAGATAGAAGATAAAAGCCTTTATTAATTTGATGTATTACAATGCAGATATTCAAAGATGAAGAGGATAAATTTGAATTGTCCAGATCACAGTAAAACAGCTGTTTAAAAGAAACATACAAAATAAAGTGTAGTATTGTGAATGTCTGGCAAGCAGGTACATTCATAACACATGCAATACCAGTCTTAAATTTTACAAGTTTATTAAACTGTTCAGTTAAGCTTATATTTGACTAAAGATTGGGATATCATTATTTAAAAGTACTTCATGGGTTGAGGCCTGATTATTTTTGGTACCACTCACTCCAAACAGAGTCCATCTATTCAAGGCATGTTTACAGCAAATGTCTATAAAGAGTTCCCATTCCATGTGAAGTACAACAGGAGGGTATTTGGAAGTGATCATTTTCTACAGGAGCTACTGGACCTGCAGAAACTGCAGGATATCCTATCAACAGATACTGATCACATTTCTACACTACCTATTTCATCTAAGTGACTCTGGACAATTGACAATAAAAAACACTCTAGTATAGAAAGCTTAAATAAAACCAGAATTAAGAGCAAAATTAAAAACTGAGCCATTAAAAAGTTCAACAGATGGAGGGAGAACCTCTTATTACCAGTGTCTCCCCATGTTACATATCCCTCTTAGATTCCCATGTCAATAATAGAGAGAGGTTTTTACACTGTCTGGGAAGGCCAGAAGAATGGCAGGGGAGGGCTCCTCACCTCTGGGGGTAAGGTGTTCCAAAGGGTGGGAGCAACAGCAGAGTAGAATCTCTTCCTGGATCCTGCCAGTTGACATTTTTTAATTGATGGGATCTGCAACAAATCCTCTTTCCTGACCAGGTGGAATAGGTTGGGGCAACCCTTGAAAAAACATTTGGAAATTATAACTGATGCAGTGTGGCAGCATGGGCAGATTTGGAGGCCTCTAGAGCAGCATTTCCCCAACCTTTTTGGGTCGGTGGCCCAGTGCTAGTGGGAAGGAGGAAAAGAGAGGATGGTTTTGTGAGGGGTAAGTGCAAACACGCATGCGTACAACTTCATTTGTGTGAATGGTGTGTGCGTGCGTGCACACCGCTGGCGCGAGTAGGGCTGTGAACACCATGGCTGGTGCTTGCTGCTTGTGTGAGTGGGATTGAGCACGTGCGCCAGCCACCACTCACACAGCCTGGTTGTGAATAGGCCACAGTCTGGTAGTGGATTGTGGCCCATAGGTTGGGGACCCCTGCTCTAGAATGGCCCATATTACACCGTTTTTCTGTGAGCTGCACTGGCTATCGGTTTGCTTCTGGATGAAATTCAAGGTGTTGGTTATCACCTCTGAAGCCCTACATGACATGGGTCTAGGCTACTTCATCTCACTCCAATGGGGGTGGCTCGCTCCACCCATGCCAGCAGAGGAGGCAGGCTACGGATCCCATTGGCCAGATCATTCCTGATGGCGGGATCCAGGAGAAGAATGTTTTTGCCATGGCTCCAGCACTTTGGAACATTTTGGCCCCTGAGATGAGATTGGCTCCCACCCTCCTGACCTTCCACAAGAACCTGACTCTGCCCCTTGGCCTGAGGCCCCATTGGGGGAGAATCCCACCGGAGATGGTTAATGGACCAATAGCAGATCCCACCTCCCCATGTTTAGTGTGCTGTCTTCCTCTCTATCTTTTAGTTATAACCTGAATTTTTACTATGAGTTTATTGTGATTAAATTTTAATAAAAATAAATAAATATTGATGTAATTAAGATGAGATGGTTTTTCAGTAACCTAATCCCATGCAATGAAGGGCTTTAAAGGTAATAGCAACATCTTAAATTAGATACAGAACGAATTGGCAATCAAAGTAACTTGTGTAGTAGAGATGTTACATGTACAACTCTAGAGATAACTGTCACAAGTACAAGTACTGGTCATAATTACCAGCTATTTAACACAGCTGTAAGTTTGAACAGTTGGTGAATGAGTGGTCATTAAGCAAGGACCAGTGTTCAGATACAGTTACCCACTGATCTTTTTATTTGTTGTTTATATGATACGCTGATGTTATTGATGTTTTTCTTGTAAACCAGTTAGATTGATGCCAATTGAAATGGCATAGCCCCAGAAATAAATATATGAGCCAGTAGGAGTTTGACAGATATGATCCCTGATTTTATCAGTGTCTGAAGCACTGTAGATTTATCTGTACATCAAGATATATGTCAGGAGGAAATGGCAAATATTACTTTAAAACTGGGAGAACTAAGAATGAATTTAGTCCATAGTGGACTTGGAATGAAACAAAGGCTGCATCATAAGGACATCTCTAAAAATGGTTCAAAGTGTATACTGAATGCTACACTCACTAAAGCTTTTGCTTTCTCAATAAGCACAGTATTGACCTACAAGTGATGTTATTGATAAATGAAATTGGTTTAATATTGGAATAAATCTGCCTTTTAAATTAACCAATCTTTTTCACTAGATGGCAGTTGATACAAAATAATGCATCAGGAGAATTGGCTTTGCAACCCAAGCTTGTATTTCCGTTGTAAATACATTTCTACTTTCACACAT